GGGCAGTGCATGTAGCTCGGCGGCGGGGGTTTGTCTGGAGGCAGACAAACCTTCCTTAGGAAGGGATTTGTGGTGGTTTCTCGTATAAACAAGCGGTTTGGATGTGTGCAGTGTTTTCAAAACCCAAATAAATGGTGAGGAAGTGTGGACTGGCCTAAGAAATCCAAAACCGGGGCTGTGGTAGGCTGGGACCCGCCAGCAGCCCTTGCCTGGGTCTGAGAAGCCATCTGCAGCTGGGGAGCCCTCTGGAGAGGGGAAACGAGGAGCACGGCCAAAAAGGTCCCTGCAAAAGCGTTGCTGTGTGGCTGACCGAATCCTGGCCACCACCTCCGCTCAGCCCACCAGGTGCCAAAGCTGGCCCGTGGCTTTTTCCCGTGGTTTGCTGAGCCGTGCCGATGGTGCGGGGCACTGGGGCTGCAAGGTTGAATCCTTGCAGTGCTGGGTTATGGACGGATGCTCAGGCAAAAGAGCCTGATGTACGTGGGGCACCTGGGGACGTGGTGGCTGAGCAGCACGTCACGTCACATCCAAGGTGGCTTGCGGCACGTGTCCTTCCGTGGCACCCGTCCATCCGTGACAGCCCTCGGTGTGGTTTCCTTTCAGGGCGTGATTGCCGATTTGAAGCTGCAAGGGGACCCGCGGGCGGCCGAGCGCCAGTGCGAGGAAGAGGAGGATGACGCCGAGGAGGTGAGCGCTGGCAGCCTGGCTGGGGCAGGCTGGGGGGCTGCTGCCCCGTGCTCCCAGCTCACCCCTCGCCCCTTCTCCCCGGGTGAACGCAGGTCTCTGGTGATTTCGGCAGCGGGGCGGAAGGCGGACACCGACCCTCAGGGAAAGACAGGGTGAGTTGGTGACCGTGGGTGTTGCACTCAGTGGCAGGACCCTGAGATTTTAGGGACGGGGGGTGCTGGGTGCCCTCTATAGTCAAGATCCTGGGATGCCTGATGGGATCCCGGCGTCTGTCCCTATTGAGAGGGCACCGGGAGGTGAACGGCGCCGCGGGGTCCCCT